CTGCACTGCAATCCGAAAAACACTTGCATGGAGGAAAGGGCAGGCCCATTAGGATTCGCCAACCGCTCGAGAACTACGGGAGTTCCCCAAGCCAAACATCGAAAAGACATGAGAATCGTCATTACGAGACCTTCGTGCCGAGGGAAGAGCACTGGGAGGCACATGACGCCGTAGAAGGCGGCGTCGATCCCTAAGCCGTAAAACACAAAGCCCAAGGCGTATAAGGAGACTGACGCCGAAGAGAACGATACCATCAGCCATCCAAACAACATCGATGTACTTCCTAAGGCGCTCGTAGCCTTAGGCCCCAGCCAGTCCAGCAAGAGTCCTCCTAGAAACGAGATTCCAAAGTCTGACGCAGTCGCGATTCCGAATAAATGAGCAATCGCAATCTCCTGCGCCTTGCACACTGCCCGATAGGGGCCTCGTGGACGTTTGTTCACGGAGCTTGTCTCCTCTACGTCGCTTGCTGATGAAATTCCTGATGCCCTCGAATCGAGCTCGCCCGTCGGAGAAGCGGCAGCGCTCGCAGGCGTTACTGAGGCGAACTCGAAGGGTAACAGGAAATAACTCTCCTCCGGATACTCTATGGACATGCCGAAGGCAGAAGACGAGGAGTCCTCTTGGAAAACGTTTTCTGCAGCCACTAGGCGAGACGAATTCTGCTGATGGTGAAGTTGCACTTCTGCGGGGTCGCATAGCCACTCATACACACCCCAATACAGAAGGCACTGCCTCAGGGGTGCCCAGTTCAGATAGTGAGGTCCTATAAATAATGCATGCAAACAGAAGAGCATCAGGAGGTGCCATCGCGTAAGGCGAAAACACGACTTAAAACCCCGTCTCGCTGACTTCAGTGTACGAAGCAACCGGGGACTGTCTGTCTCCCCTGCACTCCCAACTGCTGCGTCTTGCTGCTGCTGCTGTTTCTGCTGCTGCTGCTGTTTCTGCTGCTGCTGAGTGGCCTCGGCAAATGCCAGATCGACAACGTTGCTACTCCTACTGGTGCCGCCGGTACCCATACCGTCACTGCTTGAACACATCGCACACATATGGGGGTCATCCTCGCCGCTCTCGGACGGCGATAGCGTGCGCGGTGTACGTACACCTGCCGTGGCTGCTGCCGCTACTGCCAGGCCTCCCTGTGGCGACTGCAGCAAGGGGACGCCGGATGAGCCTATAGGAAGAGAGGATTTTACAGAGTTATCAGCCTCTATGGCTGATAATCCCGCAGCAGCCATATCAGACCTCGAAGTTAGTATCAGGGATGAGGGGACGCGCTGTCGTCGGTCTGGGCAGAAAGAGAGGGGCAACCGTTAAATGTCTAGCGGGCAGGATGAACGGCTTTCGGTTAAGCTTTCAGAATTTATAGGTCTGAGCCTTGGATGCGCCAAAACCCCTATGATGCCAAGAGTCTCCACAATCCTGGAAAGACACCGTGCTGCAGCATCACGTGCTACTGCCGCCGCTGCTGCTGCTGCAGCAAAACAGAAGCAACAAAGGCTGACAGCAAGTGCTGCCAACGCAGCGTTCGCTAAGGGAAAAACTCTGCCGATGCTACCTTCTGCCGCTGGTGCTCTTGTCGGTTCGGCTGCTATTCCATGAGCGGCGGTCTGCAGGGGGATGTGCCCACGCTGCAGCTGCAGGCGCAGCTACCGCAGCAGCTGCTGTTGCACGTCTTGCTCCGACCATTGGTTTTTTGCCCCAATTTAAATCCTTTAGAGTTGATTTCCCCAAGAAGGGGAAGAAACTACGCAGAAGTGTCTCCGGTCTGTATCCCCTTCCGCATGTGTAGCCTAATTTGTGTACCAGAATCAGTAACACTGCCAAATGGTACGTTCAAATGACGCTTCCACTTGCACAAAAAGTATTTCGTTTTAAAACACGTCTGATCAAAGTTCTACTTCCTAGAACCCCACAAACTAACAGAATTATATATTTGAAGTCCGGTAGCCTCCTGCCATGATCGTTGTACTGTGCGAAGGGCTCCCTCCTAGCACACCATTATACACTTTAGGAGAAAAGGAATACAAAATGCAAGCCATAGTGCATTACTAGATATAGAGGTCATAAAGCACATGCGAAGCGAAGAGATAAGGGAATTCTTAGATGCGCTGCCCATGAGCGGATGTGCTACACTGCACGGCGACGCACTGTGCGAGGCGCTGTACACACGAGGCGCCAGTTGAAGGTGATACTTCTAAAATTTCATTGCTGCAATTTGGCTCAGCTTTGCTACAATATAATTCTAGTAGGGCCCCAAAACATGGAGTGGTGTCAGAGTAGGCCTCTCTAGCAAAAAATTATGCCATTACCGTAGCCAGCAGGGCATGGCGCGTGGTAGTCATGCGTGCAGACTCATATTGAAGCCACATAAAGTACAAGAGCTGAAACAGCCAATCTTATGATTAGGGATAGGTAGACCATTCTAAAGCATGCAAGTTTTCAGTCATCTGCCATACTTGGGCAGTCGGACGAATGATCGCTCCCTCACTTCCACGTCCAAAATGAATCGTCCATGAGGTGCCCACAGGGACGCCAGTACTCTGTCTTTTGGATTTTGCACTCGGCAATGCTGCATTCACCGGCTGCCGCTGTCTGGCGCAGACGTTGCTCTACTAGACCGGGAAGCACTGCTGAAACGCTGTGTCTGATTCACTGCATACATTTTATTTGTTTCCTGCTTTGTCGTATCAGGAAGCCCATGAATTTCAGCGTTCCAACTCTAGCCACTCATCGCGAGTCCGAGGTCGTGTGAATTTGCTCCCTCATTCGTTGTTGGCTTTTGGTTGTGTCTTCTTTCCCCCCCTTCCGGTAACCTGACGGGTAATTTGCTTCTTCCATTTGCATTGTGTGTGTTTCTGACTGCATGCATATTGGCGACGCGGCGGGAGCTCCCGTGCTGTTCTAAACACAGTTGGCCTCGACGGACACAAATGGAACGCCTGGGGGGTGCTGTGTTATTTAGATCGTGAGAAGGTGTAATGGGCAAAGCAGCATTTGAACACTCTTCACCACACCACCTATAATAAAAATAAGAACAGCTAAAGAATCGAGTAACTGGCTTGTCTGTTGGTATATCGTGTTTTCTGCAGAATACTGTTATTTCGGAACTAGAAGACGCCGTGCGTGTGCGCGCTCTGGATACAATGCGAAACTAGCTGTGAATGCTTGGAGTGTTTGAAAGGTTCAACGCGCACCATAGCTGTCCCTTTCCCTTCACATCGAGCACTTTGAGGAGCATGAGCAGGGCCAGAAGGAAGCTTTTTTTACAAGCACACATGGATTTTTGAAGGTTTGTACTTTCAAGTTTGAAGCAAGATGTAGCGTTACACGCTGCGTAAACGGATACAAGCTGCATAAAACCATACGATCGCATAAACTTTAATGCCCGATCTTAGGTCTCCAGAGGGGACACCTAACTTCCGAATTAAGCAAACCTGATCCATAGGTTTTTCAGAATCCTCCGACAGACCTCATTAATTTTCCTGCCAACCCCCTCAAAGTCCAGATATACGGGAACGGAACTGCTAGGATGAGCGTTGCTACAGCTTCTAATGACTACAAGCCTTCATGACTCGTTACACACCGCATCCAGTGCACATTCTCCCACGGGGTGTTATGTGTTGAGCTAGGTATTCTGCAGGAAACAAGGCGTACGAGCATGCATATCAATTATTTTAGCGTTTACCAAGTCACAGTTACATATTGCTAATGAATCAAAATGTGTCGAAGTGCAGTCTAGCCTCACACAGACACCCAGAGTGCGAAACTCTACAAAGGTAGTTCCTGTATAGAAAACATGCTTTCACATTCAGGACATACCTTAAAAAGGCACAACTGAGCCCGGTGCTACATGAAGTGGAGACCTTTTTTATGGAGTATCCGGAATGCAGTGTTTACGGTAATACTTTTTGTGGTTGTTTTGTTGCAAGGTCTTCGGTGGTGAGTTCAGGTGTACGCTACCTTATGACGTGAGTCAGAGCGTACTTCGAGATGAAGTGGCTAACCCAAAGAATGCGGTGGAAGCTTGCAAGACATGTTTCAGTCAAATAAAGCCCATATTGAAGGCAAACTGCAGGATGGAGCAACCTTACCTACCGCCGCATGGGCTGGTCAAGAATAGTTTTCTGGAATTCATTGCAGCCACTTCTTGAAAAAAATCGCTCGCAAGTGTTTTATGCGCCGGACAGGACCCGAAAGTCCTTCACGCTTCGGACACCCCAGATTGATGTGCGTGGCGAGTATGATCAAGGGGTCCTCCAAAGTTAGCCAGTTTAGATATTCTCGCCCATAAACTGACTGTTCGGAGACCTTTCACAACAAAGGAGTAACGAATCTAGGGCCTGTTTGAGGCTGCTCCTGCGGTTGCTGCCAGGCACCATCTTTCGATTCGAAATGTGAGGCGGCTCTTTCAGTTCAGACTGAGATGAAGACCCCGTGTGCCTTCTCGCTCCCCCCCTGTATTCCGTTATTAGCGCCTTCGGGCATCCTTCGCGTTTAATTATGGGTGAGTTTAGCCTTATCCTTGCGTGTTTTTCTAAAATGGGAGTGCACACTTCCTTCTTAATTCTACACCTGCTCGCGAAAACCACTGCCTTTCAGAAGTTCGCTCCCCCCAGCGGCCGATCCTGGGGGCTGGTGCTTTCTGCGGTCCTTGGAGTGGACCCCTTGTTCTGAGCCTTTTCGTCCACCTCGACGTCCAAAGAGGTATATATGTGTATATATATATAGTTCCGAGAGAGACTTTTTGAGCGGCTGTAGCCACGGTGCTGCATGGCGCATAGACCCGATTTTGGTATTGCAGCAGCGTCAAATATTCTCCGAGGTGGCTAACTAGTCCCTTCCTCCGTGGTTTTGGCGGCATTTGCAAGAAAGCCGGGAAAGGCTCATGATTTACGACTTCGGACGTAGGCAGAGGATGCATGCAGCGCGTCAAAGGGGGAGTCTTTTCTTTTGCCGCCCTCCCTTGTCCTCCCTGCACACAGGGACTGCCCTTAATGGTGCAGAGTAAAAGGCACCCTAGGGCACTCACTGCAGAGGAGAGAAGAGGCGCAGGAACCGCTATCAGATTCTACTGCGACTCTGACTCTTCTTTCCCCTGTGGGGAGGCGCCCAATGTGGGATTGCTCACCACGGATGATTCAGCCCGTTGGGGGGGTAAAACATGTGGCACTGCTGCTGCTGCTCGCCCTTACCATTTACCCCTATGTATCGCTGTGTGGAGAGGCTGTGGCGCCTCCTGGCCCTCTCTCGAGGCTCCCCTCCAAACGGGCTTCATCCAAGCAAACATTGAAGAGCTCGATCGGCGATTCCGAAAAACAGGCACCGTCGAGTGAAAATGCAGCAACGAGCAAGAAGAACGAACGCCTTGAAGCCATTAGGGAGAAGGACGAGGATGAGGATTCACAGAGACGTCTTAGGGAGAAGGACGAGGATGAGGATTCACAGAGACGTCTTAGGGAGAAGGACGAGGATGAGGATTTACAGAGACGTCTCAGGGAGAAGGACGAGGAGAAGGATTCACAGAGACGTCTTAGGGAGAAGGATGAGGATGAGGATTTACAGAGACGTCTCAGGGAGAAGGATGAGGATGAGGATTTACAGAGACGTCTGAGGGAGAAGGATGAGGATGAGGATTCACAGAGACGTCTGAGGGAGAAGGATGAGGAGGAGGATTCACAGAGACGTCTCAGGGAGAAGGACGAGGATGAAGATTTACAGAGACGTCTTAGGGAGAAGGACGAGGATGAAGATTTACAGAGACGTCTCAGGGAGAAGGATGAGGAGGAGGATTCACAGAGACGTCTCAGGGAGAAGGATGAGGAAGACTCACGCCAGGAGTCGCTTGACGGTGAAGGCGTTACAAAAGTTCTTAGGGCACGGCAGCAACCCAACAAGGCTCACATGCCGCTTGGAGCAGAAGCACTACAGGCCCCCTCTGGTGCTTCTTTGCTTGCTTACAGACGCCGTCGAAGCCTCATGCGCGTCCGCGTGCCTGAGTGGGAGGAAGTGCAGCAACAAGAACGGAAAGCCTTGCAGAAGCAGCTCCGCTCTTCGAAGAATTCTGGCTTCGTAGGCAGCATCATGCGACGCCGGCTGAGCTGGACGTCTCTTTCTCACAGAGCTCCCAAAAGTGCGGTGTCTTTGATGCGTTTCTTTCCTCCGGGGGGCCCTAAGTGGAAGCCTCGTCCTGCCGAGTTGCAGATGGATGACGAGACGGAGGAGGAAGTATCCGACAAATGCTTGTTGGCATTTAGGGGAGACGCAATAAGCCACAGGGCAGATCCCATTGGACGGTCTGGACCCCGCAGTCTGCGATTGCTGGCGTGCCAGATGGCGTTTTTCAGAGACGGAGGTATTACGTTTGGGAGGGGGAGGGAGGGAACGGAAAATCCCCGTGCTGTATGACTTAGCAGTGTTGGTGCTCGTAGTAGCCTTGCTGCTGCTTCTGCTTCTGCTGCTGCTTCTGCTGCAACAGGAGGCAGCAGTAGCTGCCATCTTCTGTTGCTAAGGACCCCGCTACGCCCCCTCAAAGCGCTGTTGTTGCTGCTTTTGCTGCTTCTGCTTTTGCTGCTTTTGCTGCTTTTGCTGCTTTTGCTGCTTCTGCTTCTGCTGCTTCTGCTTCTGCTGCTTCTGCTTCTGCTGCTGCTTCTGCTGCAACAGGAGGCAGCAGTAGCTGCCAACCCTCTTGCTAGGGATCCCGCTATGCGCCCTCAAAGCGCTGTTGTTGCTGCTTCTGCTGCTTCTGCTGCTGCTCCAGGTTGGCAGCGAGACAACACACGATCTCTGACGCTTGGGGGGGTCGCCCTATCCGCTTCTCCAGCAGCAGCTCTTCGGGAGCACCGCCTCTCCAGTGGAGCACTCATTATTCTCGTTTCCTGCCCTGCCTGCGTGCGTTCTGCCGTCACTTTTTACGTTCGGCGTCACGACAGCCTCCGGAGTGACCTCTCGGGAGTGCTGCAAGAGGCCCCTCCTCCTGGATGCGCTGCCGACTTCGCTCTGGGAGATCTCGCGGGGATCTACAGAACTCTTGGCATGACGCGCCCTTGGAGTCGGCGAGGTGTTGTGTGTAGCGGGAGTTTTGTGCACTTTGTGGCTGCCAGCAAGCCCAGGGATTTTCCTATGCTAGTCAAGGCGCTGGCTGGCCAGCTGAACAGCCCGGTGATCCATCAGTCGGATGTTGAGAAGGCGTTTATTGCGTCAACAAGCAGCTTCAATGCGCATCTGCTGTATGCGCACCCGAGGGCTGTCGCCATGCATCTTGCGCTGGTAAGACTCTTCTTTTGCGCTGCCAAAAGAGGCGACTCTAGGTACAGCTGCACTGGGCAGTCAGTCACCTGGCACGCTCCGTTGGTGGAGACTTGTTGGCGCGCGAGAGGGCTGGATGGCTAGCTAGACAGCTAGCTGGCCTTGTGGCCATCTCGCTGGGCTTCGAAAGCTGGCTAGCAGCACGGAGCTTGCCTGACCGCCAGTCAGGGGGAGCGTGTTGGTCGAAAGCTAGGGTTCGACGCTGTATGGAGTTGGGGTGCCACGCCTAGCCTTGGGGAGGTGTGTGCGGTGTGCTTTTTGCGGCTCTTCAGAAGTGCGGACAGGGAAGCATGTTGCGGCTGTACCACGGTACTTGGCAGGCGCTGCAGCGCTGGGCAGAAAAGTTCGGCCTGTCTGTCGCAGATGCGGTTACTCGCTACCATCAGCAAACGTATGACGGGGTTTATAATTGGAGCAGGGGCTTATCGGGGTGGGGGCTGCATCCTGAAATGCGGCGCTTGGAGACCTTTTCCCTTCTCTGCGAGGAGCAAACCGGGGACTGTGTGCACTGGACTGGAGTGAAGAGCTTCACCTTTCAAGCGTGTGGCGTGCGTTCAGCTACCTGCCGAGCCGCGTGACAGTTGGCGTGGTGGATCCACGTTCGCTGGATGCCATAGAGGCGGCGATTGGGCCTGACCTCCTCTTTCTTGCGTTTCAAGACACAGCTGTCATGAACTTGAGGGAATTTCCGTCTTTGTCTTCCGCACCGAGGGATTCGAAAAGCGCCGCCGCGGGGCAGGTCGGAGGAGGGCAGCCTCAGACGGCGAAAAATAAGCTTCAACCAGATGCGGCGGATGGCGTGCACGCAGCAGCCGATAAGGGAAATGAGGAGGTTTCCGTGCCCTCTTGCTGCAGAACCCCTGCTCTGCACTTTTTGGAATGCGCTCCGGACCAGCCGCACACCCTTGCCTTCTTCTCCTTCTTCCTCCCTCCCCACGACGACGGTGCAAGCCCAGATGCGGCTGCTGCTGCAACAAGCGTGTTTGCAGGGGCGAGCTCAGAAGCGGCAGGAGCGGCAGCCAGGGAAGCAGCAGCAGCCGCTGCAGAAGGGGTAGCAGCGACAGCAGCACGCACAGGTGCAGCGAATATCGCTGCAGGTCACACGACGGAAGGAGGAGGAGGCGCGACGTCAGCAGATGCCTCTTCATCGAGCTCACGAGGCAAAACGGACTTGCCTGTCACCCTTCGCGCCAGGAGACTGCTCGTGGCGATGCTAGCAGCCTCGGGAGGAAGCACCTTGTTGGGCCGTTTGGTGAGCAGCGGAAAGGCCCTTAAGGCAGCAGTGCACCTCCCAATATCAAGCGATGGTGGCGCTCTTCTTCAAGTGAGGCCTATGTTTTTAATGCTGAAGGTTGCTGCTCTCTAGTGGTGATGATGCTGCCCCCATTCGTGCTGCTTTTACCCTGCGTGCCGTCCCTCGAGGCACAGCAGATCTCGAGGCTGGGCTCGTGCCTCTCTCCACGTTGGTGAGGCCTATGTATGTATGCAGGAGTGCCTGCATGCGTGGATGGATGTATGGAGTAGGTGTGGATAAATATACATGCATATATGGGTGTGCAGATCGAGGTGACACTGCCTGACGACGACTTGAAACACCGCCTCGCGGATATTGGGGAAATGATCTTCGCTTACATCGGGTATTCATTGCAGCCCCCTTCCCCTTCGTGGATGATGACGGCAATCGCTACTCTTGCATTTCGTGCATCGTACTGCTTTTCCGAGCTTCGATTGGACCCTGCGCTTGCCCGTCCCCCTCTGTGCTTGCCTGCCGCCTTCTGTCCGCCTGTGTTTGGGCTAGTCCACACGAACACACACTTTTACACGCACGCAAACATACACATACACTGCCCTTCTGTAAGTGTATTCGGTTTCTAGGCGCAAGGTCTTTCCATGTCTCGATGTATATGCCTCGTGACAGCGCTGCGTAGCTGTCATTATCAACACGAGATTATGTGGAGTCTCGATTCGTCGGTTGAGGGTTTGAGGTTCGGAGCGCATGTGCAACTGCACACAGGGCACTGCGGGAGTCCCCTCCGGGTTGGTGGTTTATGGCGGAGCAGCAACGCCTTTTTGCCTTTGAGCAGCTTTTCTTCTCCCCGCATGATGTGTTACAGGATGTCATTGATGTTGCAACAGGTCAGCTGCGGGTGCTGCTCCTCCAGCAGCTCCTGCCGATGCGGGAGTTGTTGGACGGCCAGCTGGTTTTGGTTCTCTATTCGCTGCTGCAACTTGTGTGGAAATTGCTGCAGTGTCTTCCTCGCATCGCCCTTGCTCTTTTCTGCTGCTGCCGCGTTGCACTGGTGGGGTCGACCCCGAAGAAAACTCGCCTTGCATGTTGTGTGCTGTTTCACCGGTGCCCTAAGCCTTGCGTCTCCGAATCTTAGTGCCCAAACCATCACCACGTGCGTTGCCGCAGATGCAACTCACTCCTCCGAGTTTATCACCGTTGACAAGACGGCTCTGATGACGGCAGCGGGCGCCGCTGTGGCGCTCTTGCAGCACCTGTCTCCCTCGCGGCTGCACCTGTTGCTGCAGTCCCCCATTATAGACCACTTGTCTGCATCTGTCCAGCCGCAAACATTTGTTCGTTTCGGCGAGGGGAAGTTGGCGGAGAAGACAGTAAAGCGCTGGGTGTCTGCCTTCTGCAACAAGCAGATACGCGATACGCTGCTCCGTCGGTTGGGCTTGTCTCTCCCCAGAAGGAACGCCTTTGCTGACTGGGCGCGTAGAGAGCAGCTAGCCGTGGCGTGGGAGCTGGAGGAGACTCCAGGCAATATTGGCAGCAGCGGCAATCCAACGGGGTACAACACGCCACTCCCTTCCCCGACTCCTCGCACCCTCACAGAGGATCCCCTCGCGGGATTCGAGTCTCTCAGCATCCCTAGGGCACCTACGCTCGTCGACAAACGAATGGCTTCAAAACTAGGCAGTGATTTGATTAGAGGCAGCGTTGGCACGCAGAGTAGTGACTATAAGAACATGAGTGGCTACGGCAGGAGCGGCAGGAGACACGCGGGGTCCTTGCTGGGTGCAGAGAGTGAGCACTACAGGCCTGTGCAGTTCTCTAGGCACCATCCATGCTACAACAAGTGCAGCGTCTGGAGAAAATCTCCTGCAAATCCTCAAGATCCCCGAGCTGCCTTGACTCTTCGCCTCGGCTGCTGGGTTGGTCAACAACTGGTGCCTAGGGAAGCAGCTGCAGCCGAGATCTTCCTGTTACTCGTCAAGTTGCAAACTCAAGCGGTGCGCATATATATATATATATGTATATACGTATATGTATATACGTATATGTATATGCGCTACGTTGCTGCTACCGCTGTTTCAGGGGCTGTTGTTGATCTCTCCTTCTTTTTGGTCCGACCCTTTATTGGATGCATCTCGTGGAGTGTCTTGCTCGAGGGGGGCAGCCTCTCGAAAAACGTGTCTTTGCAGAAAAGCTGCTCTTCAGCCTGTATGGTTGTCGCGTGTGTACGCGTCTGCGCCCGTTCCCCTGCTGCACGATTTGGTTTTGCTTGTGTGACCTCCCTTTCGGTGTGTCAGCGTCTCGCTGCTCCCGTGGCAAGCAAGAGGCGAGGCGCTTTCGTGTGTCTGTCCAGCACGAGCTGCATACGTGGAGAATGCTGCCTTGGGTCAGTCAGACCTGCCTAGTAGCTTGTTGACTCGTTTGCCGCTGCAGGTGCGAGAAGAGGCCTTCCGAGCTGGCAATGACGTTGCCTTTTCCGCCGCATCCTTCGCTGCAGAAACGCACGACATCTACGTGCGGCAGTCAGACAGCATAGTACTGTCCATTTCTGGGCCTAGAGACGGCTTAGAGGGGGTTTTGCTCGCGCTGCTGCTGCCCTTAGCGCCTCCTGCCGCTGCCATTGCAGCAGGTGTAGCACCACTGGACCTCTCCGACGCAGCAGTCACAGCGGCAAACCAAAAATTGCTGAACTTAGTGCACGAGCTGCCGCGTCCTGAGATGCTTCTGACGGAGATGGCTCTAGACTTGCTAGTCATTCCTCAGAAGTCGCGGGAAGCCCTCCAGAGGGAGCTTAGGAAGGCTCCTATTGACACCAAGATGGTTGTTGCGTGGAGAGACAGGATCTGGCAGAGTCTCGCCATACATGCAACCATAGAGGTAACTGCAGCGACAGCAGCAGCGGCGGCGCTGTCAAACCCGGGGAGGCAGTGGAGACTTCCTCGAAGAGGGAGAGAGGGTTACACAGTATCCGTCGCGCAGAGCCTAGCAGACACTGCATGCGTGCCGCAGTACTTTCCGACCGACAAGGCTGGTGTGGCTCCAAGTATTGCGACTTGCGTTTGGCTTGCTTCTGCCCGGCGTAGGGGAATATGACTGAGGAGGAAGTCTGGGATCTTCTGTCTATGGTTATCTCCACGCTCAATCCCGCGTCGCTTCATTCTGTTTCTGGTCCGTCCTGTCAGCTTTTCTTGCTCCTTCTGGCTCGTTTGCATGTTGCGGTCCATTCCCCTGTTCGATAATATTTCTTTGTCTGCTGTGACTTGCGTTGCCTCTTGCCTGTCACCCCTCTCCTTGGTCGCGTGTGTGGAAGGATGTGTGTGTGTGTGTGTGTGTGTGTGTGTGTGTGTGTGTGTGTGTGTCTTTCTCTCTGTCTCTCGTGCTGTTTTTTCCAATATACATCTTTGTGGGCTTTTGCTGTACTGTACGCTTAATTGGTGTTGGACTTTTGTTTCGACGGGCATTGGGTGCACGGTCTTTGTGAGATGTCTTGCAGAGGTGCTGCCTTCCTTGGTGGTAGATTTGAAGGGCCTCTATCTGCTTGCTCCTTCCGTAACATCTCTCTCTGTGGGGCAGTTCTATCAACACGAAAAGAAACAGCATCAGAGTCCCCCCATTGCGCTCTGCATACACCCGACATTCGCGAAAACGGCATTTCATGCCGTTCGTGTGTACGTCCAGGTGAGAGGCTACAGCTGGCACCTGCTGTTCGTTGCTCCTCATGCTATGTTCTCGCTCCAGCCGGAACTGAAGGGCATCAGCAGGATAAGACGGCATGCCGATGTGCGTGTGTGTGTTCCTGCTTGTTGAGTCTCATGCATTATGGATTGTTCTTACCATTAATGTGAGTGGTGTTTCAGTGGGAGTTCGTATGCGCATTCGTTTCTTGCTGCAGTTGGGTCCGCTGCGCCACGAAGCAGCCGCAGCAGCAGCAGCAGCAGCAGGCGAATGGTTTGCTGCCGCTCTTAGCGCGAGATTGCAGCAGGATGGGCAGGTCCTTTCGGCTGGAAAACCCCCGTATTACGTTAACATTGGGGGGGTGGGCTATGTGACATGCACGCTCACTAGCACGATCAGCGTGAAGAACCTTATTCTCTCTCTAGACGCAGCCGTGCGCGTCTTAGCCCAGATGTCTATTGAGGAAGCGCTAAGGGAGGTGGAATTGTCAGCAGAATGGTCTCCGGAGAAGATAGACTCTGCATTGTGCCCATTCTTTCCAGTCTGCCCTGGGCGCCTTAACCGATCGTACGTTGGATGTCTCGCTGCAGCTGTACATCTGTGCTTGCTGATGCGATTTTGCTCGGAGCATCTACTTAGGTTTTTCTGCTGACGTATGCGAACTCTTCATGTGTATTGCTTATCTGTGCTGCCCCTGCCCTTCTTTTTGTGCTTCTTTGTGAGTGGGCTCTTTCTACTCGCTGTAGCTTCTGCCGTATCTGTGTTACGTCTCGCGTGTGCTTGTCTTGTCTCGCAGAGTGCAGCCGTTGGTAGATGAGGGAATAGAAGTATGCCTGAGGGCTTTGAGGGAGACGCCACGCCTCTTTGTGGTGGTTCGAGGTTCCCTGGTTTCCAGGGGAGGTGTAGCAGGTTTAGGCCTTGCTGACTCAAGCGAATTGGGAGAACTGGAGGGCTTTGTTGCTCTCAAGGAAGCGGATCGATTCACGGAGACTCTCATATCCCATGGGTTTTATTTTGAGGTTGTGAATAGCTACTGACGCGAGTACCAGTAACTTCATTGTTTGAGATTTTATGGGCGCATACCCAGAAGCATGCGTCTTTGGGGCTTGATCAGGCTGCGTCCGCGCTCTTGTCACTATCTTCCGAGCTTAATGCCGCATTCTTGAGCAGTTTCTTCTCAGCATAACACCGAAAGAAAGCTATCTAAGGTTCTCATAGGAAAGGAGACATACACCTGCTACAGCATTCTACCAAAGGCGTAGACAGGCGGGAAGTAAGCCAGTTACGGCGGCAGGATCAGCAGCCAACGGCGCAGGGAGACTTCGACCTGAAAGAGAGACTTCATTTTTCCCCGTACAGTTGGGTGAGACTTTGGAGGAGTATACCATTTAAGGAACTCTGACCTCGCTACGGGAAAGACTGAACGGGGTGTTTGTGTGCGCGCGTGCGTGCGTTCAAATTAAAGGTAAATTTATCATCTATATTATGTGGGAATGGCACATGGGGTGTACCTTCAGCCCACACATGAGGCGGAGAAAAGCTAGACAGCAGCCTTGACTCCATTTATTGCCCCCGTGTAACTTCAGTGCCTGCCGAGTGCTATACCTCTGCCCCTGTACGTCTAGCTTCTCCCTGTATGTACCAGACCAGCAAGCCAATTTGGTTGCTGCTCCCACCAATTCTTTGCCGCTACAGTGTTGAGGCTTGCCTCGCTTCTAGCGGTACTGCTGGAGTATTAGTGCCAGGGCAAAACCTGGCTCTTTACTTCACAGCTAGCCAAACAAGAGTTTTGGGACTGTGGAGGAGACGAACCCGTGAAGGGGCATTTTATGCATCTGCTCTTGCCGACCGATCATTCTTCCCAGGGTCGTATCTGTTTTTTGTTTGGTTGGCTTTCGTTCCTTTGTCGATACACTAGGCATCATTTTACCCTTTTAACTGTATGGGTAATCCGTGCAGAGTCATCTGGTAGGAGCATGCTGGCACGTAAGCCATAGACTGCTTGCAGGATTCATGCAGAGCAGAGACACCGCTGTCAACAGCGCTGCCACCGCTGGTACTTTTTCTCATTTGGCTGTGCGTACTGTGGCACCGGTTCCTACTGTTGCTGTTTCTTATTCTGATTCATAAACTCTTCTATATCCTTTCGGATCAGCTTGGCCGTTGTTTTAATTTCGGCTCTGAGAGTAACCAGCTGCGGTGCTTCCTCGGGGGTGTGGGACCGGCGCAGGAGGCAAGCATCCGCTTGACGAGCGATGAAGTCAGAGCGCAACAAAAGCAGCAGCAGTTTCTGCTGTTGATCTTCTTCGTTGTCCTCTTGCTGTTGCTGCTGAGCAACGAAGGCCTCTTTGATATGGAACAATGCAGTAGCAAATTGCTGTAGCGATCTGACGAGGTCGTCACCTTCAACTGCTAGCAGCCCCAATATAGTTGACTGAGTTATTAGGCTCTCTGCAAAGCCGAAGTAGGCATCCTGACCGACAAACTATAAACCACGGAACTGAGAACCAAAGATCTAAGCTACCACCTAGCTGAAACACGTAACTCGAAAAGCTAGTTTTGTACACAGGTAGCTACAGGCCCTACAGTGCAAGGTGCCCCCAACCGCGAACCGTATTCCCAAACAGTTGTTCAGGAGACATGCAACTGTATTCTGCGGGCTGGCTTGATGGCGTTCGCCATGCTCCCTTGGATAACGACTCCTAAGTACCGAGGGTGTAGCGGCTTCTGCAGCTTACCGGTATCCTCTGGAACTTGCATCACTGCGAAGGCATGGGCTGTTTCAATGGCTGTCATCCCCTGATGCTGCTGGTTTTGCCGCCGCTGCTGATGCTGCTCCAAGAACGCAGCAGCAAGTCGTAACGGTAGTCCGCCTAACCACGTACAGGTGATACCCGCTGAGAAACCACTTTCTCCAGGAGAGTTGCCTCCAACTGCCTCTCCTGGGGCTGCTGCTTCTGTCGTTTCTACGGCAGAAGCGGCAGCAGGGAGTGGTTTGAAGGGATCGCCTAATATGATTCTGTTGTGCCTTGCCAGCGTATTCGTGGGCCTTAGAGTTGCCTTGAAAAAGAAGCGGCAGCACACTGCTGCTTGTCTCTCTTTTCCTAGGCCTAAGGAGGCTAGACACAAGAAACCCCACGGCTCAGCGCGATTGGGGTTTAGGTCGTTTGCTGCTGCTGCTGCTGCCAGCGCCTGCCGCAGCAGCTGCTGTTCCTTGCCTTGCTGCTCTTCGTTTTGCTCTTGCAGGTGCTGGTCCTGTTGCAGCAGCAGCAGGCAGGCAGAAAGCCCGAGCCACCCCTCCGCCGTTTCTAAAAGAGACAGTGCTTTGGAAAAGTACTCACAGCCAATGGTCCCAAGCCTGCGCAGCAACACGCCCCCAGCGGCTGTCTCAAGCGAAGTGCAGAGACATTGTGACACGCCGTATAGGAACGGTCCGCTTATTCCATCTAAGGCACTTCGTGTCTGTATAACGCGGACCAGGGATGTTTTTCAGCGCTAGCTAGCCTCGTGTGGCCTTTGGCGGGCAGCCGATCTTAAAATGTTGGAATGGTGATTAGCGTCCTAGGACTAGGGTGTATCACCCGAGATGGAATGCAAGCTCGCCGCATCTGAGGTAGACCGCAGAGTCAGTGGTTGGCTGCGCGGCTTCAAGGCTTTTCTGAAAGAGGGCGAAAGCCCTACGTGGTCTCTGTATTCTCCGAGCAGCCTCGGCAGCCAAGGATAGACAAAGGGCACTAAACGGAGAGGAAGCTAGCAGACGAGAGAGGACTGCGTGGGCTTCCTCGTTGGCTGCATCCAAAACTCAAGGACAGAGGCTGAGAGGGTCCGAGTTAGCGTATGAAAAGGACCAATCGAGATAAAACTAACAGGGAGCTGCACTACCGAAAGCTTTTTTGGTGCATGAAGCTAACGGAAAAGAAGAGCATCATACACGGTTAGCGAAGGGGGATTTTCGTGAGAATCAAAAAAACTGTGGATGTACATCAGCCAACAGCACATTAAGGTCAGCAGCATATTCACATATATCTGATATCAGATAACCAGGTGGGGAAAGAGGGACAACAGCCGAACGGCCTTAAGCAAAAGGGAATAAACGAATCATAGGTACCGAAGCGCCAAAAGCAAGCAAACATGCATCGCAGCAAAGGGCACAGGGAGGCAAAATCACCAAAAACCTCGAAAACGACAGAAAAAAGGAGGTTTTTAAGGGAGAGGGTGCCCGTTAAGGAAGCTATACGGGCAGAGAGGTAAGGAGAAAGAAATTTGAAAGTCGCAAGCCAGTACTGCCAATTTTTCAGGGTGCAGAAAAGTATGGTATTCAATTGGTGAAATTAAACCCTATAGCCCAATCCCGATACACTCCAAGCTTTGACTCCTAAGCAACAGCAGTGGAGTACACGGCCAATGCATGGGGGTAGAGGTTTCCAGCCGAACATGCGTTCATCCAAGGGACAGACAATCAAGCCTTTAGGCATGAGGTGTATAACATCGACTTTATATGCGTCTTACCCTGGCAAAGCATAAGGGCCTGAGCCTCGATCAGTAGCAGCAGGTTACTGCCTTTTATAGTTGAAGAAACTAGGGAGTCTTCTCTGAGGAGCCGGAGGGCGAGAGCTCCTAGGCTGAACTTCGTGAGCAGCAGCAGCAGGGGAACAAACAGGCCTGAGGGCCCTTCCTCTAGCTGCAGCATCCAGTCTTCCGGTAGACTTGGGAACTGTCAAATAAGTACCCACAAAAACACCGAGTTACGAGAGCCAGGTGTCAGCCGGTGAAGTAAGGGAAGGAGCGAGTCATAATAGAAAGACACATTTCGACATCGATTATAGGCACGTAGGCCACCAAACGATGGCTCTCCAAGAGCCGAGATTCCGCCAGTTGTGCAGAGCAAGGCAGGTAGCAACGAGATACCGAATACAGTGGCAACACTGCATTTAGTAACCGACAATAGTGCCGCGGGTGCAGCCTCATCCCTGCTACGCTTGTTGCAGCAGCCTTATTACCTGCTGGATTATTTCGTTCTGAGGCCACTCGCTCCACATCTTTGGCTGATTTTGATGGCTTTGTTGGGCATCTATGCCCTTGTTGTCCATCTCTTCGAAAGCTTCTAGCTGAAGCAGATACAAGTCGAGCAGCTGTGTCTGCAGATGATACACAGAGGGCTGCAGTGCAAGGGACAAAGCCGCTTCGAATCGTTGAGCATCTCCCATGAACAAGAAAGAAAGAGCGAGACAAAAAAAGCAAAGCGAAAGCGGAGGATCTGCTGGCTCCTCCTTTGCCCCTGCTGACGAGCTCCCAGCACTCAAGCCTTCTCCAGAAAACGAGATCTCAACAGGGCCATCTTCAAGCCGCTGCTGAGGCCTGATATCGTCTTTCAGGTGTTGCTGCTGCTGCAACCGCTGAAGCAGCTGTTGCACTGCTACAGAGAAAAAGCCCTGGGCTTCTTCTGGTCGGTTACAGTCAAGAAGGAGACATCCCAGCATCAGCAAAGGCTCGGTCGGAGTCTGCATAGCGCACATCCTGAATGAATTGCGTTAAATCCCAACGCATCGTGAGCACTTCGCAGGAGAAGCTCATGAGGAAGAGCATTCTTCTGTCCCGGCGCCAGATTCTGGGTGTTGTGTCTCTTCCCTTGCTGCTGCTGGTGCCATGGTTACCCCTGTGCTGCTGAATTTTTTGGTTTTTATACGTCGAACGCACCTGATTCACGCCTCCAAACTTGTTGATCGCCTCCATCAGGGCGGCTTCGGCTTCGTCCTTGTTGCTTTGGTCGGCCCTCAGGAGCAGCGATGCGAGCTGTACGTACAGCAGTGGCTCGGAGCATGAAGCAGCAGCAGTCACTACTCCAGGTGGTGCTTCAGCTGGTGGCAGCAGCAGTAGCTGCTTGTGGTACTCGATTGCACCATCTAGGTCTCCAATTAGCTCTGATTCGAAGCACAAACGGCGCAATCGCTCGTGCTCCGTCTGCTTCCTGCATCCAGTCGCTATTTCTGGTCCACCTGGTGCAGCTATTGCTGCCACGGCGTCAGCAAGGGCTGAGGGTGCTTCGACTGATTCCACCCGCGGTAGTGCCACTTCGCCAACTGACGCAGTCCCTAAAGTGTTGTCAGAGGCTCCTTCCTCTCCTGACGCTCGCGGTACTGCTCCTCCTTCAATTTCGTCGGGGCCAAGAAAAAGCCTCTCATACTCGGCTTTTGCTGCTGCCGTCCTGTTACAGCCAGGGAAAACAGCAGCCAAAACTGTGTACAGAGTCCTTAAACAAACTGTACTCTTAAATTCGCTGCTTGCTGCAGACTTTGAATATCTCAGTATCAGCAGCAGCTCCAGCAGCCTGCAGAACTCTACTCCCAACAGCTGCATCACTGAGGGCAGCAGCCATATGAAAGCACGCAACCGCAGCAGCAACAGTTTGTTTCACTTTACGGTAGTCGCAATTTCTGTATTTAGGGCCTCAGAGAGGGCAGCAAAACAGTCAGCCAAGACGATGCATTTCCGCTGCTGCTGCTGCAACGCGGCCGCCCCTGAACTCCACTCGATTGGCTCGCTGGTGCTGCTGCCTCTTTTCTTGCTGCTGCTGCTGCTGCTGCTGCTGCTGCTGCGGACAGCCGCAGCCAGTAGTGCGTCACCGCGGACTCTGTCTCTCACCGCTTGTCGCAGCAACTGTCTCAGTTGTCTCTCCAGTTCGGCAAGGTGGCCACGAGATTTAAGATCCATTTGCACCCGGAGCAAGAGCTCCTCCATACCTACGTCTGCCGCTTCCTGCGCTGCTGCTGCACCGCCTGCTGGACCTCCTGGCAGCACCCGCGAAAGAGAAGACGAGACAAAAGAGAGACTCTGGAGAGCAACCGAGGAAACCCCAGCAGCCGTGTGGCGTAGCAGCACATCCCCCCATGGCCCGCTGCTGTCGTCATCTGACGAGTGTGCCTCTTTTTGCTGATCCGCATGGTCCACCACGGCATCAGGGCTGTTTGGTGAAGGAGCTGCTGCTGCTGAAAAGTGGAGAAGCTGTGAGGGGATCTCCGGAAAAAGCGGCCGCAGAGCTGCAAATCACGCATAGCGTACAAAATAAAGGTCTTTCGAACGACTTTTTGAGCGTGTGTGTTCGTGCGGTCTAAAATTCGTCCAGTGTCAGGATTAGGATACAGTCATACGGTGATGAAGTGCAATCGAGAGTTTGATAACCGCTCCTGCCGCCTCAAAAGGATCTTGTCCTGTTTTTTGTTCTTGCTGCTGTTGCTGCGAGGAATCCCCAGCAGCAGCGGCAGCGGCTGCAGTGGCGACCTCAGCGTACACCGCGGAGAGCGGTAGAGTTAGGCTGTCGGTATGCTGCTCTCCCTTCCTCAGAGCATCAAGTGGCACCCAAGCTTTTGCTGCCAGGTGCTTCCAGCCAAGTGAAGTGCCATTTGAATCTGCAACAAAGTTCGCAAACCGTAAGCTGTGACCCTTCCTTAAGGTTTAGGACCATTTGATCTATCCTCTAAGGCGGTGAGTGGCCGGCGCTGAGCTATGCATACCTAAGAGCATTCGTATCACCCCCGTGCTGCATAGTGGTTCGGTGCGTGCTCTGCAGAGGGCTTGTGGCTAAAGGCTTGCGAATTTTGCGTTGTTACCTTGTCGCTGTGCAGCTGCCTTAAGTTTATTTGAGGCTGACTTTGCCCCCCTTTGCCCCTTCTCCTCGCTGGCCTTTTGCTTCTGTTTTGGCAGCAAGTAAACCCACATGCCACCTCCATGGTCGAGGGTATACACAAACCGGGAGATAAATCCGCGTCCTCTGTAGCTTTTGTAGCTCCCCGAGCTCTGGCCGTCGCTGCCCTCCCAAGCGATAAACGGCTTCGGAGAAGAGGCATACAGGCCATCTTGCTCAGCTGAAGGCTTCTCAGGGGATGAAGAGGGAGAAACAGAAGTGAGAGTTCCGGCAGAAGCAGGTGGGCGCCCCTTGGCTCGGCCCTTCTGCGAGCCACCCGCAGGTTGGCTCTGCAGTTTTTCCTCCTGAGGCTTTGGAGCAGGCTTGTCGGGTAGGTGCAAACAGCCACCGTCGAGACACCCCTCAAGCAGCAGGAGCTGCAATCGCAAGAGCCCCGACAGCCGCGGGAACAGCGGCAGCATTCAGCACAACCGCAAAAGAACAGGAAGTTAGAATGCGGCAGCTCCATGCATCGAGTCGCCGTATAGCCCGTAGTACATCATCCATACGCTTAATATCCTAGCACAGGGCTCTGGCTTTCTAAAGTGCCGCGATCTGCTATGCATAGCTAAATTTGTGGGGCATGGCTAGGAACCCGGAGTTTGGTTACACAGCCGTTAAGCGGGTTTAGCAGCGAAAAACTCACCGAATAGAAAAACGGATGCGAATCGCTGTCTGTCGAGGACCCCCCTATGTAATCGGGCAGCGAATGAGCGCCCTCAACCTACAAACCTACACCTACATGCATGTAGCCCTTAGCTCCCCGTCTGAAGCCGCAAACTACGCACCCTAACGCATGGCCCTTTTACTAATGGGCACTTCCTGGCAAAAAAGAAGCACCTGAGCTATTCTCCGCATGCCACTCTACAATGGTTGCGCCGCAAATAAACTCAAGAGCTACAAGCGTACTGTGACTGTAAAGACATTCCAATCTTGGCTGTCCTCAGGGGCACCCAGGAAGGAAGAGGCCTCAATGCAAATCACCACCTCGACACACCGAATGACCTGAGGTGCTGCATCGATTGACGGTATTGCCGCTGCCTGCTGCTCCTTTACACTCGCCTTCGGTGTACCGTTCAGCTGCCGTTGCTGTTGTGTAGGGTCGGTGGAAGGCGCTTCAGTGGCTGTGGAGGCATCTGTGGGTGCTGTGTAGCGGAACACGAGTTTTGAGTGCAGTTGTGTCGCTTCGTGGATAAGGGGGACAAGGTCAATATGCTCGGTGGCCAGCACACCTGATGACTCCTTATGAGCTTCTGAGGACCCAACCAAGTGTATGTACACTCCATGGCATGCGTTGTCCAGCATCTGCGGAGCTGCAGAAACGGACTCACATAGAACAAGAATTCGGGGGTGGAGAGGATGAATAAGGGACCGGGAACATGACAAAGTTTCTTAGAACCGGGTTACACGAAGGCATGAGCCGCTAAGGGAAGCTTTGAAGCGGGTGGGTAGCGTGGCAGAAAACTGACAAGCGGGAAGCAGAATCAGGCAGAGTAGGAAATAGCCTCAAAATGGACAGCAAATGGTCAAATGGCCTTAGGATCGCAGCACTACAAGAGAATCCTAAAGCAAAGGAGACTGATACCATTAAGCGACCCCCAGCAGCTGGAGTTTACATAGGCTGAGCTTCACGTGGGTCCTGTCGAGTTCTGCAGCGTCTCCATTCAGTGGGCCGATCTCCAAAGCATCCGCAAACAAACCTGGGGCTGCAGATACACGCTCCTAGAGCATAACTATCTTGATGGGCACTTTGGGCTTCCACTTAGATGCAGCCTACGAGCGCTTTATATATTGTTTGAGAGTCGCATGCTGTTTACTTGTTCGTCACAGGCATTTTGCCCACGTTTTTGCATGTAATTTGTAGGAGGCATACTGAGCTAAAGGCGGAGATGTGCTCCCTGCACTGCACTAGGTCTAAGCTTTCAAACTTTCCGGGCACATTGATGGCCTTCTAATTGCCGTCCTTTTCGGTTTTTCGCTATGTGTATAGATGAATGTAGCAGCGTTGCTGTAGACTCACCTGAAAGACACAGCCGCAGGGCCGCCTCAGGAGGCACGCCATTAACTGTTTCCACCTACAGAATAAGCAAGAAGACTACTTTATGAGTCTTGTATTAAAACATGCGGGTTTGAGGCAAAGGGGGAAGCTAATCGTTAAGCCAAATGGGAAATACTAGGATTTTGAACAGACGCTCCAGTATCAAAGATTGAATTTCAACCACCCTCATCGTCTCGGTGCCTTTACAAATAGGGCATGTGTGCTAGAATTAGTCCTTAGGGGTTCTGGGGGGGGGTTGTTGCTGACGTGAAACGTGAGCTCAGCAGAATCTGGTTGGGCCATTCCCTTGTGGAGCTGCATTGCGTCTTTCCTGCCACTTCTTTCAAGGGTCTCTGCCGCTGCTTTAGAGGTATTGACCTTCCAGGTGACCTGGAATAACCGTTTGTCCACAAAAGTGGTACATCATAATACTACACATCGAGGCTGAAACACTAGGTAAACATCTGTACACGGAGGGACTCGACTATCAGAATAAGGACATATTCATCTCATCCTTCGCTCAGACCGGTAAGCAAAGTTCTGAAGCCTGAAATTTTTGGTAAATTGCTACTTGCGCCAGGGTTTTCGAACAGGGATAAGTGACAGTAGGGCCTCCAATACCACAGTTGGGCCTCATGCAAGGCGAATCGCAGTACTTTTGTGGTTGCAGGAGCATTCTAGCCAGTCCTTATTCGCAAAGAGTTGGTGTATGAAGAATGGTAACATTAAACAGGTGCACTAAGAAGAAACGCATGAGAGCCCCACCGAGAGCGAGACCTAGGCCCCATGGCGTTTTGGCTGCTATGAAGATGCTCAACGCAAAGAGACAAATTATACTAAAAATTAATCTAAAATTTAACAAGAATTCACCCCATCTGCACAGTTTGCCTCGATAAAGGTCCTTCTTAGGTCTGTTGGGGAGGTAACGCCGTATTGTAACGTGCTACAAGAGCACTGTTTATGGGACTTTAGAAAGTGAAGCACATTAATATATAAATTCTATTTCAATAGAATGAGCTCATTATTTTTACTTGGGTTCAAGTAAGATCGGACGGTCCAGAAACAGTATGGCTACCAAATATTTGGTCGAGTTTCAGTACACACGTGTTTCCCGTTCCATGCTAAAGCTTCTAGATGGCATCCCACTTAAGCTAACAAAGCGCAGCACTCAACGCATAAGAGCCATTATTTTTCTGCACGATGCGGGATAAGCATATGGTTGAGTTATTCGGAGCTGCTGCATTCTTCCGAGGCCTTCCGGATAACGGGTCGGATAACGGGTTACATGGCAAGTTAGTATAATCTATTCACCGTCGTGCACAGAGGCCTCCAGAAAGAAAAATCAGGAAAAGAATTAACCAAAGCTTAAATGCAGCTTGCGAATTCATCAAACGTTACAGACGATGGTACCCATGTTTAATACAAATCTTTTTGCTTGTTCTGTGATCTGTCCAATCAAAAAGCGGGATGCGTAAGGTGCAATCACAGCATTACCTTACTCGCGCCTTTACATTTGCTTGAAGAGCTCGCCTCTTGAGGGACAGCATAGAAACAACGCACCCCGGATGGTGCCCCTCCTCATTTCGACGCCATGGCTTGCAGTACATACCGGCGGCAATCTGCGCAAGCATGCAATCGTTGTGCCTCCTCCACTCCTGTTTCATATTTGTAGACAAGCAATACTGTACAGCTAACAAGTCCTCTAATTTTACATCTAGCAGGTTTACATAGGCAGTTTTCCTACCCACAAATAAGCACCTGTGTGCGCGCTTTTCTTGCCTGTATCCGTACTGACGCAGATGTACATATGCAGGCACGAATGCACGACATGAGACGCGACAATTGTAAGTAGCTATAAGTTCTGAACAAACTGTGGTCTCACTCGTCCTTTTCTCTTTTCCACTCTCCCATTTATGCGGAAGTGGAGCTGCCCCCTCAGCATTTTCTATGTCTACGCCCTCCAAATACTCAGTTCACAACAAAATAAACAGACAGTAGAAAAAGTAAATCCCCCCTCACCAGGGAGAACTGTCCGTCCGCCCTGTGCACGCCGCAGCGTCTGTGCACCTGCGGTATTCCTCGGTGCTGCCGAGGGCGTGAGGCCTCTAGGCAAGGGCACTTATCAACCAGCAGCAATTACTGCTGCTCAACCCAGGCACAACATGGGGCTACGTTTTGCAGCGGTTCATGTACAAATGTTTGTTTACTTACATCTATTCATTTGAACGCACTGGCATTGGTGACTATGTTCAACTACATGTGTAAGAGGACATTTACTAAACTGTGATCAGGTAAGGAAACACTGCATTAGTGCCACAAACGGGGCTCCTGGAGGGGAAAAAGCTGCGGAATGCATGCATTTCCTGAATCTCTGATGGGAATATATATGCAAACACCCAGCAGAAAAGCTCCAGCCTCATATATCGTGCATCTACTCCTCTATGCAGCTGTATACACTCCTTATATACGGAGAGTTAAAGATTGAGAATTCGGTCTTTAATGCTCTTCACCACCGTCAGCTGCTCAGCCTTCACCCTGCTGTTTATCCATTCAGGAACCCCCGCCGTCCTCAAATCCGCCTAAACAGACATGTATTTAGGTACACAAACAGAAAAGGTAAACAAAATGAAAATACCACGTAGGACCGGCAACGCACTCTGTCAGAGAAAAGTACACATACGTATTTAAACGTTCTTTTTGTCCACCAAACGTTTGGTCTCCGTGTCTTACAAGCAATTTACTAGCTCTCAGCTGCAACTATCTGTTATCGTGGAAATGTGCAGAATGAAGAGCAGCGAACAGTGGTGTACCACAACATGCCCAGCTAGCACAAACGGACATACGTTATTTGAAACTTAGATTAGTGCTTTATTAGCACGCACCTGTACACAGAATGTAAGCACGACGTCATCATTGGACTGTCGCTGTATGTCATATCCGGCGAGGTGCAGATTCGCCCTCACGAGACCCTGTATTTGACCCTCGATGCTCTCTGTCCAATCAACGGACTCGCAACTCAAAATCATCCGGTTCTCATCAACCTATACGAATAGACGAGCGCGCATCCATTCAGAAGCTCAAAACAAAAGAAGTGGCAGCCTCTTTGAACAATCAAACGCTACTAGAAGAGGAGAGGGCCCGCATTTCATGAAACGGACGCCCCACCCCTCGAGTTACGGCTAAATGCACACATGGAGTGTCCTTAGCAAACGCCGCACATATGATAATACGCGGATGCACCCGCGTTAGTAGAATTATTCAGGTGCGATGTATGAATGTAATCATAGAGGCGTACTATGTCGCTTCTTGCCACGACACGCAAAGAGCGATGCTAAGAAATGCGTGCCCAGCTTCTCACGCCGATGCATGCGTAGCTATAGCATTCTGAAAAGAATCTCATCTGCCTCTCATACCTTGGTACTCCAACAAGCAATGACAAATTCTCGGCCTGAAAACCCCCACTGGCCTTTAAAAGCCTGGTACACAAGGGAGAAGTTCCCGTCGGTGGCAATGGTAACGACTGCACAGACACGAGGAGCACACGGCAACAAGTACACACGCGACTTTCAAGGATACGAGACAGTGCAACCTACTCTCGTTCATATCACCACCACGCACGAAGCATATTAGCTGCCACGTAAGAACTGGCCTATGCACAAGGCACTTCTGCGATGTGCACAAAGCTCGGCGTCCGCACCCGGACGCTCTGCGCTGAGTCATCCGCTAGAAACAATCTTTCGAGCTGCTTCTACGGGGATCCCATGAGTGAACTCTTGAGAACGTCTTCTGCAGACTTTCTCTCTCATGAAGTAAGACGTTGAAAGCGGTTGTGTCATGACCTGTTGCTGTCTGCTTTCTAGCTACCCTCTTTGAGGCAAGGTGGTGCGCTTTCACTAGAGTACACCAATTTGTCACTCCACAGCGGACCTGATGCCAGGTAGAAACGTAGAATTCTTACCTTTGCTGGTTGCGGAATCGAACTCCATTTTGTTTTCAGGTTTCGAAAGATAATCGATGCATTTTTGAAAGTCCACCTTTCCCAAGTTGATCCGCCCAGCGCCTAGTACCGGCACGGCATCTCCCGAGGTGATGCGCTGTCCAGCAGCCACGTGGAACTTGTACTGTTCGCACTTAAAGGTCTCATATCCCCGACATCCGATTTTTTTGAAAGCGGATGGATCGTCTAGGTGATCCACAATCCACTGCAATTCGGAGCTCACAGCTTTCTCCTGGAAGCCGGGCACATACAGCAGACGTGCTTACCGATGAAGGGACGAAAAAGCATTCCTATGCTCATGAGCTCATGTACTGCCACACATATAGACTAATCAGTTCTCCGCTGCACTCATCCGTGATGACCGACGTGAGCAGCCCGGCATCCCACTGCACCTGCAACTCTCCAACTACGAATGCGATCGCTAAGAGATGATCAAAAAATCATTTAAAATGCCTCACATGCTTCCTTATGCAGCGGGAACCCCAACCGTATCGCCATCTTTCTAGGAGCATAATGTACTGCGCCTGTCGCGGAGAAGATTCTCCGCCACTGACACTACTGAACCAAAGAAAAAATGTACAAACGGCAAGAGCCCGCCACGCTAAGCGACGGCAGAGGCTGCCCTCACCCTAGGCTTGAAGGCGTGCCATGCGGGAAGCTGCTGTGGGCCTTCGTCTCCGTCGAGTGCCTTTGCTGGGGAGGAGGCAGTAGATAAGGATCCTTCTGATGCGGCTGCCGCATGCTCCCCTCCAGCCTCTCCCTGCAGCAGCAAAACAGAGGTTCGTGTCATAATGCACGAGAGAGCAAGAAGCAGCATCCAGGAGAAGAAGCGGGGAGGGTCATTCGACCCGGCCTAACTGGTAGTAGACGACGACACTCTCACACTGGAAGCGTGAGAAAAGAGGATCCAGAACTTTTATTCGCAGCCACTTATGCTTTCCAAACGGCGATACACAGGCCTTTCCATACAGTCGAGACGATACACAAAGGCTACCACCACACACCCCTACATAGCACAGGCGCAGTGCGCAGTCGCTGGTCGGCTCACATATGGTTCACTGGGGGGCCCCGAGATCCGCTTGAAAACTCGAACTGAAGAAACCTCGTTTTCGAGGCCTTCTTTTCGCAGTACTACTTTATACCAAAGGGCGTCCGACTGCGTACCCTGAAGTGTGCAACAATACATGCGGCAGAGGCCGACAACGCGGGATTTTTGAAACAGAATACACGATCTATCACTTTGAAAGCTCCCTCTAGAGGCCCTTTTGTGCGAATGCGCATCTGTCCCAACGGAGAATAAGTATGCATGTCTGCATTCGCACGCGATGCTGCTCAGCCCTCGCAGGTTCCCTTGAAAGCGGTCGTGCTCTGTGATGCCTTGTGCGTGGCACCAGTTGCAGCAGCTCATGACGAGAATAACTCTCACTTCGCCTTCAGACTTAATTTCTCTTGTCTCATAGAGAGTTGCTTTTTGCTGCTCGTTGCGCTGGGTGGTCTTGAGGACCGCACCGTCAATCTGCGTGACGCTCTTCCAGGCCCCCACATCTTCGTCTTCTGCCTCCACATCAACGCCGCTCAGATTTAGACGCACAGTCTGCACGCCACATGCGATTAAAAAGCAGGGAACCTTCGACCCAGTAGATCTCGAGGACGCAGACGGATACGCCGACGCCTGCGCTAGCAGCTGACACCGTTCCCTTGCGTCGTCAGAACAAATCATGGCACGGAGACACGAAATCGCCACATAAAAACGAGGCTGGGATATGTGCACAGACGCAAAGGACACCCCGCTTAGCTAAAGAAGCAAAACTTAACATCTCGAACACCTGGTCATCTAGCTAAACGCAGCGCTGCTCGAAAAGCGCGGTGTAGATGCGCCTCGTTTCACCTTTGAGATGCCCGCAGTCAGTGTGGTCGTTATGGCAAACTCCAGCTGCCCGTTCTCCTCAATAAGCGCGTACTGCACAGTCGGGTTCAGCTTTTCTACAGCGTTGCGGATGAACCACGAGACCCCCAACTGCTCTGACACTGGCGAGAAGCTCGTGCTTCTGCTTCGATCAAACTCCCATTCCCCGATAAATCGGTTGATGATCTACGCACCAAAACACAAAGACGCAACTCGCCCTATCTACGAAGCCTGGCCCCTGCGTTCTGCAGCCTACACCCCGCAAATCGCACTGCCCACTCGCGTTTTCGCGCTGCAAAACAGAAAAACTCTTGCTCCTTTGCTTAGACATGAACAGCGTATTGCGCACCCGTCGATCGAGAGGCTTGGAAGCCTTAGAGAGCGCTCTCGCTGGACGCTCAGCGCTACGCGTAGACATGAGCCCTCGAGGCCCCTCTCGTTTCAGCACCGCGTCAATGTACTGTTCGGTTGCCAGCTCCTGGAGCACATTTTCGCACCAGATGAAAGGAACCCCTCTTTTCCCCCCTAAACCTTTCTTGGCGCGCATCGTCTCAAGTGTGGACGCAGAAAGATTTCTGAGCTCCCTGCGGGAAAGAAACAGACGCGAGAAAAATCCGTCCTGCGTTCTTACCAATCGTCTGGGGCTGAACGGCTCTCCAACGGATGGACTTGTATCCTCCGAAGCAGCCTCAGGCAGCTGCAGCTTGAGGACAGAGGCATCCAGCTGCCTTACACCGCCTTGCAGCAGGGGAATATCGGAGACTCCGCCTTCAAGAGGCAAAAGAGGCGGATACAGCAGCTGCTTCACAGTTCGCCACAGCGTCCGAACTTGCTGCTGCGGCAGCTGGTGGAGAGGCACCAGATACTTGTAGAGGTAGCGCAGGATCAAAGGCAGCCGATACTTCTGAGGAGGCGCGGGCATCAAGCGGGGGAAGAGTGCCTCGTGCGGCTGTACAGACACACGGAACGCCGCGAACAAACATCCAACCCCCCAAGCTGACGACAGAAATGTTCGAGAAAGACAAGCACGCAACCAAGCAAACTGGACCCCACAGACAAATAAGGTGCAACAAAACTCATGAGAAGTCGCCGCAACAGCCGCTCTGCGGCTAGAAGAAGAACGCCCCTGCAAACAGGAGCACCATCAGTCTGCCAGAAAAGCCGGAACCTCTTGATTCGCCACTAGGAGCTCCAGCACATGCCCACCTGCAAAATATCAAAGTTGAACTCATGAGCGCTGACTTCTCGCTCTGCCATTTCGTGGACGGCCTGGAGCTGCGAAACGCGAACATCACGCAGCGGCGTTCTGCTGCTACTGCACTCCAGATCTACCTCCTGTTGCTGCAGAAGACTCGAGGCACCACATTTTGCGCAGCAGGGTTCCTTACGCTGTCATCTTCGCTTCTCTCTCGAATTGCCTGATGCAGCAGCAGCACAAGGCAGAGAGCACCTCCAAACACGTGCTCGAACCCTAGGGAGTTCGCCAAAGGCAGCAATGGCTCCCTCAGGAGCATCAGACGCTGTCTCTCCAAGTGCATCGTCAGCAGCTGCTGCTGCAGCAGCAACAGCAGACGGCTGAAGCCGACCACTGCTCCTAAGCAGCAGCAGATCGCCGTTACCCCCATGCGGGGTAGCCAGCTCTCCAGAGTCTGCGGCAGCTCTCCCAAGCAGCAACTGCTGCTGCGGCGACAGTGGAGCATCTGGTGACAAGCTTCCCTCAGCCGCAGCGGCAGGATCAGCAGCTGCAGGAGGAGGCACAGCAGCAGCACTCGATGCGCCGCAGCAAGAGGCAGCAAGCACAGCTCCAGACAGAAAGACGCGTAGAAGTACTCCAGCCGCAAAGGAGGCAAAGCGGCTTCGGCAGCGGCTGCAGCTGCTGATAATTCCGCCTCCTTAAGAACGTCGCTGCCATTGCAGCTGGCTGGAGGAGAGGGGCCTGGTGACACCAAAGATGCGCGCCTCGTAAACAGCAGTCGCATCAGCTCCGCAGCAAAAAATAATAATAGCTGCAACGCGAAGAAAGCCGAAAAAGGACACGGCAGTCCAGTTGCCGCAGCTGCCGATGTTGCTGCTGCCGCCGATATGACAACTACCGCCGACCCTCCCCACGTGACGAGCAGCAAAAACAGCTGCTGCGCTGAAGAGAAATACGTTTTTTCTGAGCGGAGACAGCGCACGCCCTACGTAGTGGCGTCAAACGCGCACCTGCCTCAGCCCGCAGCCAGACGACACTTTTTACGCTTTCTAAGCGAAAAAAAAGCCTCAACTCACCTCCTCCCCCCCTTTCCTTGCGTCACCTCCTTCCCCCCTTTCCTTGCCTCACCTCCTTCCCCCCTTTCCTTGCCTCACCTCCTTCCCCCCTTTCCCTCTCCCCCTCCGCATGCGCATCCCCCCTCAATTGTGTATGTACCTGAAGGGGACTCTGTGGCAGCGGAGAAAACATCGAGCTCCCAAAGAGAAGCCGCAGCGTCGGCAGCGGCGATGGAAACGGCTCTAAGAGCGTTCCAAATTCCCAGTGGCTTTGCAGCGAAGCGCAGCACTACGGGCAGCAGCATGGGAAGCAGCAGCAGCAGCAGCTCGAGCACGCTGCTGCTGTGCTGCAGTCTCCGTACCGCTTGCCTCACAGGACCCCACAAGGGGGCTGCGGCGTCAGACACCGCAGCCTCTGCCACTACTGCCGCTCCTGCACCCTCTCCTGCTCCTGCTGCTGCTCCTGCTGCTGCTCCTGCTGCAGCAGCAGCGGCATTCCCCGGAGCCGCCATCCAGACACTCCACTCTTCGGGAGCCGCAGCGCGGAGAACGACCGCTGCATGCACGGCCAGCAGCAGCACCAGCAGCACCCCCTGTGCTGCACTCGCCAGCGTAAGTCGCCCCTTCCACCAGCTGAAGCCTTGGGCGCGCTGCACTGCAGCTGCAGAGACTGCACTGTGTTGCTGCTGCTGCGGCGGAAGCACAGCAGACGCGCAGCCGCTTGCTGCCGCCGCTCCAGAGCTTCTAGACGCTGGAGCTCCCGCAGCGCTGCTCAGAGCCTGCTGCTGCTGCTGCACAGCCAGTGCAGGAGCGCCGCCAGAAAAAAAGGGAAGGAAGAACTCCCTAAATCGGGGGTGACAGCTGAAGGACAAACTCTCGGTGGGCGCAGCGCCAAACAGAAGCAGCAGCCGCAAGCGCTGCTGCAGCAGGCTGAGAGGGGGAAAAGGCTTTTCAGTTAGGGCCCCGGGGGCCCCCAGGGGCCCTCGGGGGGCCCCCATGCGCGACAAAGACTCCAAGCCGAGGGCATATCGCCAAGCAGGAAGCTGCAGCAGCGACCGGCAAGGGAAACGGCAAAAGACACCGGCTGCAACTCCGGCGGAGGGTGCCGGTGCCGCTGCCGCTTGCTGCTGAAAGCTGAACTCTGAATCGTCTGCCTGTAACTACGGTCCAACTGCACAACAACAACCCCCCTCCCCCGTGACACCCCAAGATATCTGCTCGCACCTTTTTCTGAACAGCGCTCAAAAAGACAGGCACTGCACATGCAATCAACAGGGCCGCCGTCGCCTTGAAGGTCTTCGACGTTAGCAGCAGCCACACGGGATCTGTAGATACACCCCAAGCCAGCGTGCCCGCTGCAGCAGCTGCACCCATGGCTTGCGTTGCAGGGAAGGTGGAAGTCGCTGCTGCTGCCGCTGCGGCTGCTGTCGCAGCGGCTACAGAACGAACTCGAGCCGCCTCTTGTGCTCCCCTGTCTCCCACCAGCTGGAGCATCAAGAGCAGGAGCTCCACCAGCAATAGCGACATGCAACACCGCCAAGCCCCTCTCAGCAGCAGAATCAATGAGCACATCGGAAAGCCGCAGTACGCAGCCTGAGACACACACACGCAACCCCACCAAATCCGCAACCTTTTAATACCTTGATGCGCGCAAAGCAACGATCGTACGGTGCAACCCCTCCCCCCTGGCAAGATGCACGACACACACACACACACACAAAATCTAGCCATTTCCGTTGACTTTTCTAGAATCACCAGCATTGTTTCAAGGGAAGGCGAAGGATCTTTCAGCCGCAATTGCCGCCGCCGCTGTTTCTTTGCGCCGTCCTGCTGTTGCAGATGCTCCTGCAGTTTCAGCTGTATGGACAGCTGGGCTTCCCGAAGGTGCAACGGGTAAATGCCTTGCACCACTCCGGTGCCGAGGCAGACGTCTAAAACCCCCAAACCCTGAAGAAAGCAAACCGCTCAAGCCTCCCGCATACGCCACGGAACAGACAGAGAGAGAAAGAGAGCGCTGAAGACAAGCCGGAGGACTAGGTGTCATGACAGGGGGCAGAAGAAAGTCTGGAAAACTCAACAGCAAGCCTGCTGGCAACAAGCCCGATGTCAGTGACCCCCCCCCCCCTCACACCCCACCTGGAGAGACTGAAAAGGTGCATCAACTCCAAAGCGCATGGACAGTAATTCCCCTAGAATAAGATCCGCCTCCTCATGCGGCGTTAAGAAGGTATCCGCATCTCCGCTGCGCAACCACCGCACACCCCAAGCGCAAAGCTTCCTCTGCTACGTTCATTTTGTCGAGCAGAAAGCGCAGTCTGTCTGTCAATGGAGACTACTGATAATTTGAGGACCTATAGTCTAAGGGAGTGAGAACAACTTTGATTCTTTGGCCGCAAGAAAGTCTTCCCCTCTCCTCTCTCCTCTCCTTCTTCTTCTCCCCACCCCGAGGATCCCAAAAGCCAAGCTTTCAGCCAGAATCTCACAGCGCACTGACCTGCCCTCGAAGAAGGATCTGCATCTGAATCTGAAGGCGGCGTATTTGTTGGTGAGCGTTTTCTTCGTCCCACCCGCTTCTTCTAGCAGCAGGAGCAGCCGCTCAGGATCCCCCCAGACAAGCAAGCCAGTACAATTCTGGGAGTTTTCAGCCGCAAGACTTCCTCCAATGAGCTCCGCATCCAGCACGGGGTGCCCCTTGAGTTTGCACAGCAAGTATTGCTGCAGAGACTCCTCGACAGCGTCACCGCTTCCACCCTCTACTGCTGCAGCTGCGGCAGCCGCCAGCCCAACCCTCCACGCACTGCTGCTGCTGCTGTCGCGGAATCTCGAGCTGCCTCCACTGCAGGCAACAGGCTGCAGCAAAACAACCCACTGCGTGCTGCTACGCCCCTTCGGAGGCACTTGCCCCTCCTCGAAATCGCCTGCTCCCAGCGCAGGTGATGCTACGGCTGCTGCTGCTCCTGCCGCTGCGGAAGTAAGTGCTGGGGGAGGAGGCGCAGACACAACTGGCGACAGAAGGAAGGATATAGACGATGAGAGACGCGGCAAAAAGGAGGGCAACAGAGCCGCCAACCCATGCTGCTCCTCGGATACTGCTACTGCTTCTGCTGCTGCTGCTGTTGCTGCTGCAGCTGCGGCTGCTGGAGTCGCCACTGCAAGTTGCGCAGCGGCGGGAGCAGGAGGAAAGCCTCGTGTCATGGCTGTAGAGCTGCGCAAGTAGGAGACGTTGCAGCTATTCATGCTCTGAGAACGCCATCCACAAGCGCTGGCATACGAAAAGGCATATCCATCTATATATATATATATATATATACACTTAGACACCGGCATATCCATACAAACAGGCATATCCATACAAACAGGCATATCCATACAAATAGGCATATCCATACAAACAGGCATACCCATACAAACAGGCATATCCATACAAACAGGCTTATCCATATAAACAGGCATATCCATATAAACAGGCATATCCATACAAACAGGCATATCCACACAGACAGGCATATCCATACAAACAGGCATATCCACACAAACAGGCATATCCATATAAACAGGCATATCCATACAAACAGGCATATCTACACAAACAGGCATATCCATACAAACAGGAATATCCATACAAACAGGCATATCCATACAAACAGGAATATCCATACAAACAGGCATATCCATATAAACAGGCATATCCATACAAACAGGCATATCCATACAAACAGGCATATCCATACAAACAGGCATATCCATACAAAAAGACTTATCCACACAAACAGGCATATCCATGTAAACAGGCTTATCCATACAAACAGGCATATCCACACAAACAGGCATATCCACACAAACAGGCATATCCACACAAACAGGCATATCCATACAAACGGGCATATCCACACAAAAAGGCTTATCCATATAAACAGGCATATCCATACAAAACAGGCATATCCATACAAAACAGGCATATCCATACAAACAGGAATATCCATACAAACAGGCATATCCATACAAACAGGCATATCCATACAAACGGGCATATCCACACAAACAGGCATATCCACACAAACAGGCATATCTACACAAACAGGCATATCCATCTATATATATATATATCCACTTAGACACAGGCATATCCATACAAACAGGCATATCCATACAAACAGGCATATCCATACAAACAGGCATATCCATACAAAAGGGCTTATCCATATAAACAGGCATATCCATACAAACAGGCATATCCATACAAACAGGCATATCCATACAAACAGGCATATCCATACAAAAGGGCTTATCCATATAAACAGGCATATCCATACAAACAGGCATATCCACACAAACAGGCATATCCATACAAACAGGCATATCTACACAAACAGGCATATCCATCTATATATATATGTATCCACTTAGACACAGGCATATCCATACAAACAGGCATATCCACACAAACAGGCATATCCACACAAACAGGCATATCCACACACACAGGCATATCCATGCAAACAGGCATATCCATACAAACAGGCATATCCATACAAACAGGCATATCCATACAAACAGCAAGGTAAAAAGACTGAAAGCTTCCTTGCTTTGAGGGGAAGCATGAGGGACGGCAAAGATGCACTGCCAGCGCTAGCAGCCGTTTCCTCGAGCAAAGCAACAGCAGTGCTGCAACGAGCATGAGCGTAGTGAGATGCAGTAGGGGCAGCAGAAACGACAGCATCCTATCTTACGATGGATCGCGTGACAAAGTTGCCTTGGCCGTTTTGTTGCACAGAAAAAAGCAGCGCCTCTTGCCGTTGCGCATCTACGGGCTGCAGCAGCTGCTGCTGCTGCAACATCCTCGCTTATCTGTCTGCTCCTGTCGCACATGCACTGCTGCCCCCGAGTTGTTCTTGGTGCTTCTGCTGACAGACGTGTCTGCTCGTCTGGCGGCTTGCTCCTCTTGCTTGCTGCTGCCGCGGTTGGTGGAGGTCTAGCCTAGCCGTGGCTCCGCTTCTTCTATTAGGACCGTCTTCACGGCTGCTGCGCGTGCTCATGAAGAGGTGATAACAGAGCGATCCAGCACACGATGCTTCCTGGAAGACTCGTTGCACTCCCGCGGAGGACTATCTCCTCGAAGCCAGGAACCCCACTCCCTAAGTCCGTTACTGTAGCTGCAAAATGAGCGACTTTCGATCCAGTTAATTGCTTGTTGTCGCTGGAAAGAAACCCTGCTCAATGGATAGAAGATCAGGAAAGAGAGCTGAGGGGCCCGTGCTTGCTGCTGCGGCTGCTGTTGCGCATGAAGGGATAGACACAACGGCTACTGTACATACTGTAGGAATCAATAAAGGCATCCCGTAAATTATTCTAGTCTATCTTTGGGTACTCCCTTAACTGCTGATACGCCTTGGTCGACACGGTTAGCAGCTGCAGCAGCCGACGGCACTGCGTGCGCCGTCGCCCTCCCTCGTAGAAGGAAAAGTCACTGCCTTCTTCATGAAAATAACTAATGAAACTTGCAGCACAGGCATCTGCTGTCTGAAACTGTACCTCCTTTCAACTCTCTAAGGCGCAAGCCTAACCTCAAACTGTACCTGAATACGCAGCAATTCAATGCCTCTCCTCCCCCCGCCCCGCATACCAGTAATCATTCATGGCCATCCCCTTCCTCTCTACTTCTAACCTCGCCACGCTAGACGGATAGAATTCTACCCCCCTAATTCTAACTCCCCCACACGCAGTTCTAACTGGGGGGCCCGCACTGAGCGAAAGCTCTCCTCTATCGATCAAACCTACGAGCACCACATCAGCGCTTACACGTAACTCGTTGAACTCAAATCCGAAACATCCAGCTGAGCGGGCGTCGCTTACCGCCGTAAAATACGCTACTTTGGGGAGAGTTTCCCCCCCCGCCGCCGGCAGTAAAAGCCTGAAGCGGGGCTAACAACCTGTTTAGGAGCTTGCACCTCTCTGCGGGGTGACGAACCTGCAGACTGAAGAGGCCTCTTGCCTGCGACTTCACTGAGCTGCTGTGACACTGTGACCAGAGGCCCCTAGGAGGGGCCTCATCTGCGCCGGGGCTTGCGCGTAGCCAGAGAATGGCAGCCACCGAACCGCTCCAAAACACCATGTAGCGGACGGAGGAATGCCCACGAGCTTTACACCCCATTAGTTGCATTAACAACGAAGTAGTACACAAGCAGCTCATCTTTATCCGTCGGTAGAGCTCAGTGCAGAGTAGCGCCAGCTCGATAACGAAAGACGCAGCGTTGGGTGAGTAGTCGCTGGATGTTATGTGCAGTATTTGAACAAAGGAATTTCCTACTAAGAAACCAAAGCAAAACCATCAGACGAGATGAGATCAGAGGTTTAATGCTTATCGAACTCCGAGCTAGCTGGTTCCCCTTCGAAATGCGTTACAAAAAATTAACGTCAAATTGCTCATATTTGAGAATTTTTACTAAAGTTTCCTTCTTAAATGCAACTACCTTAAAATATTTTACAGTCGGTCTACACTATATTTTTTTTTACATGAACAAAATTCTATTGTTTTAAACAAGTTACATGTCTTATAGTTCAACTGAGTTCGCATGTTTACGAGATGCAAGCTCGTGG